AAGTCCTGTAGAAATAGGTCCCATTTCTGGAGTACCGAATCCTGCAGGTATTTTTTCAGAAGCCGTTTTTATTTTTTCTGCAATCAACTGTCGTGGCAGATAAGTCCCCATATCATCCTGAAACACAATCGTCACCACTGAAAGCCCAAACTTTGACACCGATCTCAATTCCTTTACCCCAGGAAGATTCGCCATTTCCAACTCCACAGGATAGGTAATAAATTGCTCTACGTCTTGGGTAGCAAGGTTCCGAGAAGTAGTGATCACCTGCACCTGATTATTGGTAATATCAGGTACTGCACCGATAGGAATATTCATCAATGCATACACCCCAAATCCAGACATGATGGCGACAAATAAAAAAACTAAAAGCTTGTTGTGAAGACTAAATCGAATAATGTGCTCGATCATGGATAAGATATTTTATGCCACAAAGGTAGGTCGGACCATCATACGAGCTAAAAAAAAGGACTTAAGATTGGCTTAAGATTGAGGTTAAGATTAAGATTAAGGTTGAGACTAAGGTTATGTAGTAATACCGCTTCATTTAAACATTACACGTTATACATTAAACAAATTAAGATTGAGATTAAGATTAAGGTTAAGATTAAGGTTAAGTAGAAAGACTGCTTCATTTAAACATTACACGTTATACATCAAACAAATTAAGGTTGAGATTTAGATAATAGTCCGATATTTAGGGGGCATTCCAACAAAATTGATTTATATTAGCATTAAAAAATTATTGACTCCGTAAAAAATAGTAAATTTGATCTACAATTACAATTTTTATATAATAACCAGATGAAATATCTTATAATTTTAATGATTTCTTTTCTAGCTGTAGATGAATTACACTCCCAAGCACCTTCCAAAATTTGGCATTTTGGCATCAATGCAGGAATTGACTTTAATTATGATCCACCTAAGAAAATTAGTAATGGAAACCATTCCTTTGATGAAGGTGGAGTCACTCTGACTGATGAAAATGGTGACGTTTTATTTTATGTTGATGAAAATACTGTGTACAATAGAAACAATCTTCCTATGAAAAATGGTGGTGGTCTTATAGGCAATACAGGATCTTCTGCTCAGTCACCGATAGCATTACAAGACTTGAAAAATTCTGAATTGGTTTATATATTTTATGTTGCTGACCATATCGATAATAGTATTATAGGACAACTAAGATATACCGTCATAGACCTGTGTGGTGATAATGGTAAGGGCGAAGTTTTGAGCAATAAAAAAAACATCAGAGTGCCAGGCCAATTTACGGAACGTCTCACAGCTACATATGATACTACAAATAAAAGATACTGGATACTAACCAGCGACTATGATACTCAAAATGTGAAGGCTTTTGAACTTACGGAAAACGGTTTAAGTACCACTCCTGTGACTTCTTACTTATCAGACAGTTCTCGTCCATCTTATATTGGGATGATATCAATTAATAATCAACAAAACAAAATAGCTTATACATGTGGCCTTTCAGGTGGTTACAGAGGTATTATTTTGGCGGATTTTGATTTAATCACAGGAAGCGTAAATAACCCGATGAAAATTCATGATGGTGATATATATGATGTTGTATTTTCTCCAAATAGCAAATATCTTTACGCAACTGATATTTTTGCAGGGTGTGTTTTATATAAATTTGATTTAGAAAACAGATCTAATGATAAGATTTTATATGAAAAATCTGGAAACTATGCCTTCACTGCATTGGAAGGAGGTCCAGACGGTAAAATATATCTGGCTATCGCATCCGATAATGCTATCGGTCAAGTAGCTAATCCTGATCTTGATAATGAAGAATTTAACCCTGTTTTTCTAAAATATGATTCTCCAACTAAAGTTGGGTCAGGACTACAAAGTACACATTATTTTAAACAAATAATAAGAGAGCGGAAAATTAGTAAATACCTTGGTCCTGATACTATAGTTTGTAGTACGATTAATATTTTGTTAGATTCAGGTCTTGATCAAGCTAAATGGTCAAATGGGGCATCGGGTAAAACTATAAGTGCCACAAGTCCAGGCCAATACTACTATTACTGGAGAGATTGTGGAGTGTTATATACAGATACCATTAATATTTTTTTCGAAGAAGAAATAACAGAAACAAAAGAATCAAATCATATATTTTGTGAAGGTGATTCTATAGTTTTAAGTGTACCAAGCCTGGAATACATATGGAATACTGGAATTCAAGGTGATCAGTTGAAGGTAAAAGATGAAGGTGTTTATTTTTCAACCTATAAAGAAGGATGTTTGACAAATATAAATATTTTTAATGTTGCTGTTGATACCCTACTTAATTTGCCAGACTTACAGGATACTTCATATTGTAACCAGTCAGAGTTTAAACTCAATCTTCCCAAACCATATGAAATTTATGATGCTTTAAATGTTAAAATACCTGATGATAAATTAGTAAATCTGAATGGTTCTTTTCTAATACGTGCTCAAAATACTTGTGGAAATTTTGAGCAGAATATAACCATAAAAGTAGATACCTTCCCCAATATTCCACAGGATAGCTATTTTATGTGTTCAACTTTGGATTTCCCATTGGAGTTAAGTACTGATGTGGGAGAGACATTTTGGAATGAGACTTTTCAATCCAAAAATTTTGTAATAACTGAACCAGGAATCTATACATATGAAGTCAACAATAATTGTGGAGAATTTAAAGGAACGGTTAGTGTTGCTTTAGATGAAGTCACAACATTGCCAAATATATTTTCTCCAAACGGAGATAGTGTAAATGACAATTTCCCCGGAATAGAGTTAAAATCTTTTTTTAATGTTATTATTTTTGATAGATGGGGAAATTTGGTTTGGGAAGGCTCAAAAGACTGGGACGGATCACACAAGAGTGGAAGCGTAGCAAATGGGGTGTATACTTACATCCTTAAGTCATTAGCTTGTGAGAGACAACTTGTAGGTACTATCACGGTCATTAAGTAAAGTAGTATTTGAATAATTTATTTTCTTAAATAATACTTATGTCACAGCTTGACTCCCTGGGAATAAAACCTTAAACAATAAAACATTAAACCTTAAACATCCAAAGATTAGTAGCTCTGACATCTTTAAATAGTCACGTTAAAACTTTGAGACTTCGCGCCTTAGTGGCAATTTGAAGCCCCAACATCTTAATTCCACTTAATTCCTAAATGTTTAATAAAAATGAGTTTGAATGGAATGAAAATCAAATAATAATTACTTCACAGCTTGAATCCTTGGGAATAAAACATTAAACAACTAACCTTTAAACATCAAAAAGGAGTTAGCTCTAAAATCTTAAACGAGTAGGATTACTTCTTACAAATGTAATAAATTAAAAGAATTCTCTAAAAATTATAAAAATTAGATTATCAAGATTAAATTTGTTTAAGAATATTCTTAACATCCTTACAAAAATATAATGAACGAATTCGAAGAAAAATTTAAATCATTTGATAATCGAAAACTTTTAAAAATAGTTGAAGAGTCAGCGAAATATCAAGAAATTGCCGTTGACGCTGCCAAAATAGAATTATCAAAAAGGAAACTAAGTGAAGATGAAGTTCAAGCGATAAAAGATGAATTCTTAGAAGAAAAAATCAAAGCTGAAACAAGAAAAGAAAAATTTCAAAAAATAGAAAACAATGCCAAATATTTTGGAACTGAGTTTTTTAAAACAATACACCCACTTCAAAACGAACATCAATCACTGCATAGGAAAGTAAACTTAATAGTAATTATTTTTGGAGCTTTAGCCATATACCAAATTTTCAAAGAGCGAAATATGTTCGTCGCTATACTTTCTTTCGATTTGAGTGAATGGGATTTTAGTATGCCTATATATTTCTTTCCAATAATAATTTTGCCATTCAGTATATACTTTTTTTGGAAGAGAAGTAAGATTGGATGGATGCTTTTCACATCATATGTTATCTACAATCTATTAAATGGAATAGGAATGCTCTATGTCACTTTGCAATGGATGAACCAAGAAGGATATGAGAGCGATTCATTAATGAATGGCTTACAATTTGAATTTACTGAAATGGAATATTTTATTCATCAGCCAAATCCCATGATGTACTTGTTAATCATCTTTTTTTATGGTGCTACATTATGGTCTTTAAATGTAGAAGATATAAGGACTAGTTTTCAAATTGATAACAAAACAAAATTAATTACATTTGTTGTATCATTTTTATTAACAACTGGAATGATAGGTCTTATTATTTGAATTATTTGGTACAGGCAATTAAATTGCTATGTTAATCTTAAAGAACTTTTTTACTGTTTAGCTTGCAAATAATGAAATCATTTATAATGAGTATTTCTTTTAGCTTTTGTGTCTTTATGGCCCTAAACAATAAAACAATAAACCTTAAACATCCAAAGATTCGTAGCCCTGACATCTTAAATAGGCTTAATAAAACTTTGAGACTTCGCGTCTTAGTGGCAATTAGAAGCCACCAATCTTAATTTTCATTAACTCCTTAATGGTTTATAAAAAAGAGTTTGAATTCAATTAAAATATCCTTAAATTATAGAAATTACTTCTTTAAACATTAAACACTTAAACATTACACATTAAACACTAAAACGGATCACTCAATTCACTAACCCTAATCAATTTTTTATTGACAAATTCATAAATACCTAATTCAGAAAGTTCCCTCCCATAACCTGAACCCTTCGTTCCACCAAAAGGCAAATCCGCTTGTGTCCAAGTAGGATGATTAATAAAAACCATACCTGTATCTATTTGGTCTGCTACCCTTTTGCCCCTTTCAATGTCTTGTGTAAACACCGAACCACCCAATCCAAATGGAGAATCATTGGCCAAATCAATAGCTGCCTGTTCATTTTTAACCTTAAAAAAGACTGCAACAGGACCAAAAAACTCTTCGTAATAAACAGGATTATCGGGCAACATATTGGTCAAAACCGTAGCTTCCATATAGGCGCCTGCCTGATCCATTCTTTTGCCACCTAATGCAATTTTAGCACCACCTGCCACGGCTCTTTTCACTTGATCCGCTATGTGATCTGCTGCAGCAACATTACACAATGGACCCAATTCCGTTTTTTCATCCATAGGATCTCCCACTAATAGATTGGCAAACTTATGTTGTAATTTTTCAAAAAACGTATCTGCAATTTCTTCCACTGCTATAAATCTTTTTGATGCGATACAACACTCTCCATTATTATTAATTCTACCTACCACAGCCCATTCCACAGCCTTGTCGATATCCGCATCTTCCAATACGATAAACGCATCACTACCACCCAACTCCAACACTGATTTTTTCAAATGTTTACCAGCTACTATGGCAATACTAGCGCCAGCAGCCTCACTTCCTGTGAGCGACACGCCTTTTATTCTGTGATCTGACACCAACGCCGATGCCCTTTCTCCAGAGATAAGTAAATTGGTGTACAATCCATTCGGCGCACCAGCTTCCAAAAATAAATGTTCAATAGCGATGGCACACTGTGGCACGATCGAAGCATGTTTGATGAGCATCGTATTGCCCACCATGATATTGGGTGCGGCAAATCGTGCTACCTGATAAAAAGGAAAATTCCATGGCTGTACACCTAGTAAAACACCTATCGGACTATGTCTGACCAAGGCTTGCCCATGCACAGGATGAAGGATCGTATCGGATAAAAATGCTTCTCCATGATTGCCATAATAATCAAAAATCTCAGCACTGAGTTTGATTTCACCCTCTGCTTGTGAGACCAACTTACCCATTTCTAGGGTGATCAGTCGGGCAAGATCTTTTTTATTTTCACGTAACAAACCAGCTACTTTGTGCAATAAGCTCGCACGCTCTGCATAAGATGTATTTTTCCAGTCAGCAAATGTTTCCACTGATTTTGCAATGGCTTCATCGACTTCAGTGTCAGGCATTTCTTCGTATATTTTATCCACTTTATCAGTTGCGGGATTGGTGCTATATATCGGCATACTATTTAATTTAATAGGTTATTAGTAAAGGAAATCAAGCATGTTTAGGTGCCATATCTGCTTCGATACACCACAATAACTCTTTTATAAACACTGCTGCAAATTTGTCAGAATTGGCTTTATCTAGCGCTTTTCCGTTTTCATCATACGCTTTATCAACACTAGGCACAGAAAACATCGCAGGAATCGTCCATGCCATCATTTTCCATAATGTAAAT